GCTGAGCTCCTGAAACCTCTCTCTATCTTCAGTTAGTTAATAAAACTGACATTCACTGGTTTGGTTACAGTGAGCTGGGCCTTCAAATGATGGGTTTTAGTAAGCTTCAGGGCACCATGCCTAAGGTCACATTGATCCTCAGGACAGAGCAAGGACGGGACATCCTGGTCTCATGACCAGGGCACTGTCCCTCTGCCTCACTGTCTCAACTTTCCAAAGTATCCTTCCCTGTTCGACGGCACCACGATTCTATAGGACCCATGCGAAATCTAGTGAAGCTTGAGGACAATGAAAGTGGTTTCCAGCTCTGTGTCACCCCCAACCCACACTCCAAACTGGGCTTTTTTTCCATCAGCGGTGTAACTGACCCTGGCATCTCGGCTGGTCCCCACCCGCCGAATGTCGTGAATCAGAGGACTCTCTGTCTGAAAGCCAGTCTCCTCTGAATGTGAGCGAGCTAAGGGCAGGTGGGGAGGGAGATGGTTCCAGAAAGTCTCCACTGCTGTCAGCAGCGTCCGTGGCAGAAATGATTTACTGGGGCCCAGCCCCTTAACGGGGCATCTGCCATCAGCTCCCTCCTCTCCAGGAAACGGCTTCTTCAAAAGGGTCCGCTGCAGCGGTGGGGAGGCCTGTTCAGAGCCTCTGGGGTTGTTGGAAGGTGGAGGGAGGCGGGGAGGGGTGCGGAGGAGGCCTGGAGAGCTGCCACCCGAGTGAGGCTGGTGACAGGAGGAATCCATCAATCTTGCGTTGCAGCACCAAATAAGGTGCTGGGGCTCGCTAGGTAATAAACAACGGTCACAGCGCGGGCTCGGCAAGGAGACAGCACAGCGGAGAGCGAGGGCAGGCCTGACGTCGCCGCGTGCGGTCCTGGCCGAGCAGGCTGGCCCACCCCAGGGTGCAGGGGCCCCGTACTTGTCCTTGATGGATGTGCTCAAGGCAAGAAAGGGGAAACCGAGGCTAGGCAGCGTTTGGAAACGTGTCCGTGGCACTGTCCCCGGGGCCAGGAGGCTCTCCCAGGGCGTGGTATGGGTTGAGCCCCCATCTCACAGCCCCACGTGGCTTTTGGCAATGTCACCCACACACAGCCAGGCCCCGAGTGACAAGAGCACGGATGTCACTACTGGAGCTAACAGAACTGCTCAGCTGTCAGAGTGAATGGTTAAGCACCTATTATAAAAACTGGAGCCTTAGCTATCCCAGGACAGCTGCTTGTAGAGGGCTGGGGAACCCACAGACATTTAAGGCTGGCCCCTTCTCATGGCACGTGAGGACAGCTTGGCCGGAGAGAAAAGCGCTCCAGGAGAGAAATCTGTGAACAGAGCATCGAATTTCCCATCCAGGGCCACGCGGGGCGGGGCCACACTCAGCCCATCTTCTGCACAGAGGGTCAGGCATCGGCTTCATGGGCAAGGGGGACCGAGTTCTTCCGCCTGTGCTTGTGTGTGTTTTCAGCTTTTCTTACAAAGAGATTCATCTGGGGCTTGTGTCCTCTATAGCCATGTAGAGGAATAACTGATGAGAAGACCCCAGGATTTTGAGCCTGAAAGACCTGGCTTTGAATCCCAGCTGTGCCCATCACCACTGGTGAGACCTTAGAGTGTCCAACCTGCACACTCAGCTTCCGTTTGTCCCTAAAATGGGGCTTTCATGAATGAGAGTCAGAAACAGCGCGCCAGAAGGTAGGTTCTCAATAAATCGTAGTTGCCACAGAAAAGCATGAGGGCTCTTATAAACTTGAGTGATAAATTTCCTATCGGTTGTTAATGGCTAGGAAGTGTCCTCACTCCCGTACATTTTCATGGTGCAGGGCTTTTTCAAACAGGCTGCGGCTTTAAAAATGCAGATGCTTTCTGCCCAAGAGGAAAAAGCTTTCCGAGAGAAGCCAAAGGGCATCCTGTTCTGATTAGCAGGACTCCATCTGCACTCGGATGCCTGCTCTCACCCGACACAGAAGGCTGAGCAGGGATCTGGATCAGAACTGTTTGAAATGCGACTGCAGGGAGACCAGACTGCATCGCCGTTATCTTCCTGCCGGTCATCCTCAGGGAAAATGCACTGAAGGTTTGGGAAGAAGCCTCAGGTGGAGAAGGCGCAGCTCCTGGGCTGCCTCGGAGGTGGCCAGCTTTCTGTGCTGCCGACGGCAATGTGGCCGCCACACTTGGTGCAGGGAGGTATGGCCGCCATATGCATTTCGTGCCTGCACGTTGATTGGACCTGTTGCTGTTTGTTCTCCACAATTGCTGTCTGAGTGGAAAATTAGAAGAACCATATGCATTCACTTCACATTGTCCAGGATGGAAAACTCTGATCATTTGTCCCAGAAGAAAAATATCTGTGAAGCCACCAGATATTAAGCCTTAAATGTCATGGAGTCGTGTAACCTCTGATGGGCCAAAACGGTGAGGGAAGTGAGGCAAAAATGGAAAACAAATTAGGATATTTCTAAAAAGAACAAGATTAAACCTTATGCACAACCTATTAGTTTTAGTTGTGAGTTTGCCATTCATATTTCTCCCACAGTGAAGCCACATTAAGAACAGTAGATTAAATAAATAAAGAATAATGGAAGAAGATGATGATTGTCATTTGTCACCCATAAGGACCCACATTTCCACTCTGTGGCAACAAAAATCAGTCATCTAAATATTAACAAGTAGAACACATTATAAACACTTAGTTATATAGTATTATCCCCGTAAAGCCATTACAACTGAAATAAAAACTGTTTTTTATTTTAACTATTAATATTCATCAAATGTTAATGAAAACATCCAACAAATAATTATGAAAAACACATTGCTTAAGTAATAAAGATGAAAGAGATGATAATCATTGTGAATATTTAATCTGCAAAATAAAGAACATACCATTAATAAGACTTAATTATGTCATTAAATATTTAATTTTACCTTCACTACTAAATTTTGTTTGCATTTTGCATATTTTAAATGTAAAAGCTGCTTAATAAGATTTGTAGTTTCAGCAACGTCAAATGCCAGAGCATTTAAGTTTGACTGACTGTCTTCATCAGATTGGTCAGATGCCATTTTATTTATCATTAAATGAAATGAACGACCCTCCTTGCATTCACTGCATGTTCTGTTTTATCCCAAAGCGGTTTAATAATTGATTCTGGGTTATACCCACTAAAGTTATGTTTTCTCACGGTGAAGAAAAATAATTGCTTTCTCTTTACATTTGTTTTCCAGTGAGTATCACACAGTGTCCCGCATTTCCTGCTGATTGTGCAGGAGAATGCGGCTTGTGTTCTGCCTCAGATGGCTGTAGAATAGGTCCGACACCATCCACAGTCAGACCACTTACTGGGGGGAGGGTGTAGCTCAGTGGTAGAGAACATGCTTAGCAGGCACGAGGTTCTGGGTTCAATCCCCAGTTCCTCCATCAAAAAATAAAATAAATAAAAAGATTTTTAAAAGAGTGAAAAAAACACAACCAATTAGACCATTCATTTCCTGAGAGTCGATCTTATCACTTAGAACTCCTGCTTCCGGCTAAACCTCATTTCACCCGTTTAAGGTCACAGAGAGTAAGTTAACCCTCAGCCTCACCCTCGCACACAGTGAGAGCCTGTCTGTTTCAAGTGCTCCGAGCAGGGCCAGGCTGGATCCCTCGCGGGTCCATCACAAGGACCCTCACCCAGCTTGGATGACTCCTGGGAGCCTGTGGTGAGCATCTGTCCCTGACCCCATCCAGTGACATCACATCAGGAGCTGGAAACCAGCTATGAAGCATCTCCCCCAAAGACCCTGGCAAATGATACAAATCAGGGCTCACCCCCCACCCCTGAGAGTCCGTTGTTAAATATTGCCCAGCACATGGCAGCCTATACCTGCGGGGATCAGGCCACGACACCCCACCCCTATCCCACCGTCTCCTCCTGGGTCCTGACGACCCAGTGGAGGAGGACAGGACAGGTGCTCTGTGGCTGCCAGCAGGCCAGGGCGCCAGGAGCCCAGCCAGGCTTGGAGCAGCTCTGGGCAGCGGGGCAGGTGAAACTTTCTCCCTCTGCGTCTGCGACTCCTGACCAGCTCTGGCTCTGGTCAGCGGGCGAGGCAGGGGGGGAAATGACCACGCTCAGCTTTTCCTTCGCTGCCAGAATATAAAAAGCTTTTTGTGGGGAGAGGAAGGCCCCTTCTCTCATGCACGTCTCCTGATGCAGCCGCTGCCCAGGCTGGCTCTGGACAGAGGCAGGAGACTGGCCATCCCAGCTGGGCCAGGCTGAGGGCTTTCCGGGGATAGATGGGCATTTGGTGCATCCTTGTCCCAAGGACGGTCCTAGGCAGCCCTGCGGGGCTCTCCTGACAGGTACTCTCTGTGAGGCTCAGAACAGGGGTCTGGAGAGGCAGGGCCACGGGAAGACAGAAGTCTGCTGGGAAAGGCCTCTTCCTCCTCTGACAACGGCTGGACAGGACAGGAAAAGCAGAGAAGGAACCAGAAGTCCTCAGGAGAAATCCAGTGTTTCCATCCTCAGGCGTAGGTGAGAGTCTGTAGCAACATCTTTCATCCGTTTAGAAACTCAATGACCTAACCTCTGGGCTTTGGGGAGGCCTGAGCCCCCAGACGCTGGGAGAGGCCTGTGGAAACGCTGGTCTGGCCTCCTCCCTCCCGACCACCAGGCCCGCACAGGCTCGTTGCTTTCCCAGGCCTGTGAGGCCTCTCAGGGATTCCCAGTCACTGGAAACACGCTCTTCTGGGTTTCCATTTCCAACTGGGCTGGCAGTGCCGGACCCACGTAGAGATGGAAGCGGCAGGCTGGGGTATCCGCCTGTGGACTCAGACAAACAGGCCCGTCCCAACCCCCCGCAGCCGCCTCGGCCTGTACTTCCTTCCCCGGGACACGCAGGCCCTTTTTATTTTTTATTTTTGCTTTGTTTTGTTTTTGCTTTTTTAAGTTTAAAAAATTTTTGCTTTTTTTTGGTTGTTGTTTTGGTCTTGGTATTTTTTGCTTTTTGTTTTGTATTTTTTCTTTGTTTGTTTGCTGATGTATCCCCTATTCAGTATGGCCTGCCACCCAGACAGAAAGTGCAAGGATTTTTCTATCTTGCCCTAGTGCAAACCAAGAGAACAGCAGGCTGTTCAGGGTCTGTCAGTGGACGCAAACACGAGGGGCCCTTTTTAGATGAGCTGCTGGGCTAAATCTGCTACTTTAAAAGAGCAACCAACAGCCAGGGTAACACTGGGGCCGGCTGCCGGACCCCTCACGCTTAGATTTGATCAGCTCTCCCGGCTTTCCTGCATCTGCGGTGGGGTGTCAGGCAACCCCAGGGCTACTGGTTTAATCGTAGTGACAGTGGCGGGGGGGTCCTCACTCCAGAGGGGTTCTGCCCACACAGGGGACACCCAGACACAGGCTGGAGCCCGTTTTCCCATCAGCAAGAGGCTGATTAACTGTCCCCGGGGATGCAGAGGCTGAGACGCGGGGCTGCAGCCGCCACTTAATGACTCCTGCACTCTGCCCGCCTCCTCCTGCCTGTCCTGTCCTTCCTTCTAAGGGCCTGCTCAGGGGCTGCGCCCTCTGCAATGGCCTCCTTGGCCTCCCAGCTGAGATTAGGGTCCCTCTCTGGCTCAGCAGACACGCTGTGCATCAGCCCTTCACTGCCTTTACTCACGACAACATGGTCTATCTTTCTCCTCTCCTAGACTAAGGACCATCTTTGTGTCCGCAACAGTGTCTTGTACATAGTAAATGCTCAGGAAACGCCTATAAGTAGTTGCTTCAAATGAATGGAAGACCCCTACCTTCCTTTGAATCACGGCTCAAGGGATTGCCTCTCCCAAGAAGCTTTTTTTAAGTTAACCAAGGACAACTGCCCCTTTCAGAAGAACCCAATCCTCTCTTATTTTTAGATATAGTTAATGGGGCAGAATTAATAAAAATACACAATATTTATTAAGCACTTACCACTTCAGGCACTGTGGCAAGCATTTCACCTGCCTTCCCTTCCTTAGTTGTCACAACAGCCCAATGAATTCAGTGCTATTAATATTATCCCCACTTTCCAGATGATGAAACTGAGGCCCAGAAAGGTTAAGAAACTTAAAGTCGACATATCTCCAAAGGGGTGAAGTCGGCCTCACACTCATCCAGTGTGACCTTAGACCTGCTTACCCACGAAGTCCCACCCCTTCTGGGTTTTTTGTTGGTTGCATCTGGAAGGCATGACTGAAAGCCCTGGAGCGGCACTGCATAACAGAATGTTCTGTGACGACGGGACGTCCCGGATCTGCACTGTCCGGTCAGCAGCCTCCGGCAGCATGTAGCTGCTGTGCGCCTGAGATGTGGCTCGTGTGACTGAGAAAATAAGTTAATTAAAGGACTGAAATGGCCACATGTGCCTGATGGCTACTGTATTGAGAGCTCCAGAACATAAAGGGTCCATTTAGAGGGGAGGGATGTGCTCAGTGGTAGACCACATCCTCAGCATGCACAAGGTCCTGGGTTCAGCCCCCAGTACCTTCAGTTAAGAAACAAAAAACAAAAAACAAAAGCACCTAATTGCCTCCCAGCCCCAAAAGAAAACAAAAAAAATTTTTTTAAATAAAGGACGCATTTAAATTATCTTTTCTAAATATCTTAACCATGTGGTCCATGGCCATCAGAAGAAGGGCTCTTTCTCACTGACTGAGTCTTGGTATCTTCCTGTGCTGGGAACACATGCGGCTACAAGCCTGAACTGAATCAGTGACAGAAGGCCGATCCCAGTCCTTAAAGTCTTGTTTCTACTCTAACGGTTTCCCATCGTGGGAAGAAGTGTACGATTCCAGTGTCTTCATTCACAGAGGCCTCGAGCAGGTTCCATATCCGAGGGCAGACTGGTTGACCAGAGCTGGGGAAGGACGGGACATGAGCTCCCCTCACTGACGTCTGTTCAGTGGTGGACCTGCTGCTGGACTTCACCTTACTTACTCCGAAAAGCAAACCTGTGACCCAGCGAAGGGTGTTTCCATTTCACAACAGAGGACAACTCAAAAGAGTAAGAAACAGTCTCAGAAAGTGACAGAGATGTGACATGAACTGGGTGTGTCTGATTTCACTGGCCCGGAGACTGAGGCTGTTAGGCGGAAATTCTCCTTCATCCTAACCACAGGATGGCCACCGTTCAAGGGCAAAGACAGCTATTTGAGGTTGATTATCTGTTCAAACTGTGTGTGTGGGTGTAATGACTGCTCCCACGGTGAGACAAGGCAAGTTGGGAGAATCAGTGCCTGAGCCAAATAGACCTGTTTTCCATTCTTACTTCTTTGTGTTCTTTCTTTGTATTCCTTATGTCTGTGATGGAAAATTCTAGAGCCCTGCTGTCTGATACAGTAGCCTTTAGCCACGTGGGTCTATTAAGCCCTTGAGATGCCTTGTAAGTGTCAAACATGCACCTGATTTCAAAGACTTAGTATGGAAACAAGGAAGATAAAATATCTCATTAATAACTTCTATATTGATTATATTGAAATGATCATCCTTTGGATATATTGGAATCAAATCAAGTTAATTAAAATCTATTTAATATGTTTCTGGTTAGCTTTTTAATATGTCTACTAGAAAACTGGATGTTACTTATAAGGCTCCCATCTTACTGCTGTTGAGAGCACCTGTGTCTGCCTCACTTCATTCCTAAGTCCTGGGATGAAAGATGAGTGACTCACTAAAACTCCCCTCTACCGGAGAAAACGCTTTCGTCTCATTGATACCCACGCTGCAGCAAAGTGGCGCTGGTTAGGTGTGAACACAGCTTGGGCCTCTGCCTCCCCGGCTCTCTGGGGTGCGTTCGGGGCACTGGCTGGGGTAGCACGCGTCTTGCCCAGCTGCACCCAGAGCTCTTGACATTCCGTCATGTGTCTGCCTTAAACAGCACTATCCCTTCTTCCTTGAACAAAGTGCTTCGTCACACCTCCCCGGCGGAAGGTCAGTGATGAAACCACGACACTGAAAAATGACCTGACCTCTCCAAGGTCGTTACCGAAGGCCATGGCCAAACAGAGCAGGGCGTGCGGTCTGCCGCGGCCGTTACCACTCGAGCAGCCTGGAGATGCTTTCCTGGTCCACGATCTTAACTGCAGGAAAGCAGGCTCAATACCCAGGCTTCTGGGGGAAAGGGATTGCGCTGAGAGCCCCGACCCCTCCCCTGCTCGTAGCATTCAACGTTGCGCGGCTCAGTAACTTTTTTCTCCTCTCAGAGATGGAAAGTGCTGTAGTATTCCCCTTTGATGATTTTAAAGTGTTATGTGCCTTTTCCTCCTTCCTCTTTCCACCCAGCCCTCTCCTTTCTCTGCGCTTTTACACCCGTTTCCATAGTAACCACCTCTATTGTGTCCCTGACTGTGAGGAGAAATCTTGCAGATGTTAGTAGGGATCCAACATTTTCCAGTAGCTATTTTGCTCACAGCCTCCTTATCTCCTGGCGCTAATTTTCTTGCCTTTCTTCTCTCTAGAGGTGCTCTTCCTCCAAGTGCCTACAAGCCCTGTCGGATGGCCCCCTCCTCGATGGGAGCCTGGGAGTGAGCCGGGGAGAAGCGTGTCCTGGGAGAGGAGGCAGAGAGCTCTAAGTCTCCTTATAAGTCTGAATTCTCCCTGTGGCTTCAACACAACATGCTAAACATCAACGCTCTGGAGGATGGAATCTCCAGCCGCTGTTGGATAAGCACCCTTACCCGAAGGCCTGCTGAATGCGGGGAGATGCCTTGGCCACCTGCACTCCAGACCCCACCCTGCTCTCTCTGTGATCCCCGCTCACCTCCACCCCAGCCTCATGAAAAGCTCATGGCCGTGTCTGTCTTGAATGTCCTCACTCTGTGCATTTGCCCCAGAGAGACCAGTCATGTTTCCTTATTGGTTTGGAGGGCAGGGCAGACATACAAACAGCGCACACACACCCCTACTTGTCAGGGCTTTCAAGACCGCCAACTCCTGAATCCCCCACCTCCCTCTCAGGGCCGGGTGCAGCTGGGAAGGCAGCAGGAGTGGGTCTTCAACAGTGACCTCCCAAAATGGTTTGAAGATTCTTTGCCCGCCCTTCCTCCTTGGACATTATTCTTTGGATGACACAAGCTTGACAGCCTGATCACAATAAACATGTAACCGAAGAGAGCCTCTTCCTTTCCAGCGACATTATTTATTCACCTAAAGCAAAGGCTGAACTATATTTAGCAGATGATGTCAGTGGGTTGTTTGGATTCTTAGAAATTGGCAGGAAGCCACCTCTCACATGATATATGAAATCACTGATAAATGCTTCTTTTCACCAAAAGAAAAACAGCTTAATAGATGCGGCCCTTCGCTGCTCTTCGCTCCTGCCCTCCCTCCCTCTCCTGCACCCTCCTTCCTCTCCCGCCCACCCCTGCCTCGCCTGGGATTTGCCTTTCTGTGGCCCAGCTCAGCAGAGCCTGTGAAGTGGAAATGAGTCGCTCGGTACCGCAGATCAAAATGAGGCTGTTGGGATGTTCAGGATGGTTTTCCCCACTCCTCGATCCTGGAAGGCTGCCAGAGCGCCAGTGAATCAGACACACGCACAAAAAGGCGAATCTATACGGCAGTGGCTTTATGGGGCCCGGTATTTATGGCGGCGCGCTAGCTCAGGGTTGCTGTTTTGCAGGCGAAGATGGGAAATAGAGAGTGATTCAGGACTGCCATTAAGGGTGAAACAGCCCCCGTACAGATTGTGTGTAATAAACCACGCACAGGGAGAAGCCGTCGGAAGCTCTGGAGCTGCCGCCCTGGCTCAGCCGAGGCGGGTGGGGGGCAGCAAGTCCGAGCTCCTGATTCTTGTGGTGGCGAATACCTGGTGCTTGGAACAAATCTCTCCGCTTTCCCCCTAGTTCCCCATCCTGCCCTGGGTCTGTCCCACCAGGCTGTCGCAGGGGTGAGGCGGCGTTTTGCCTGTGGAATGAATTGAATCCTTGCCCTCATGCGGAGACCCATTTATGTGGCCAGAAGCACAAGATTTCATTCCCTGTATTTTAGCTTCTGTAAAAAACCCACATCGCTATTGCTCACAGATCCACCCAGCCCCTTTCACAGTCGGCTGGGGTATTTAACTCAGGACGCCCAGCAGAAGCCAGGTGCGTCGTCTTCCCGGCCAGGGGAAGCCAGCAGCTCCAGTGGTGA